CCCTGCCGCCGCCCTACCCTGTATGGAGGAGACGGTGAGCTGGCGGTGAGCGCTGGCAGCCGCCTCCAGCTCCTGTCGCTGCCGCTGCTGCTGCTCCAGGTGCCGAGCCAACGTGTTGGCCAGGTGGGTCTGCATCTCAGCCTCATAGCTGTGGGAGGGGGAGGGGGGGGGGGGGGGTCAGAACTAGCAGAGGACCACGCACTGGAGGGAATGTAGACAAGGCACGATGGCGGGGGACTGACGAAGTGTAAAACGATCGTTATAACCGGCGCAAGGGCACAATATCGGGGTCACTGTGGGATCATAGGATGGAGTTTACTGGGGAAGAATAACGCAGTCATATTAACTGGAGCTAGGTCACAGTGTAAAGAAAACTGACGACTTACACGATAAGGGTAAGGTAAACCAGGATCAGTCAACCATAGTTTCGTGGAATATTTGCGAATTGCTGGGAGAGATTAGTACCACGGATGAAACAATTGCTCGGACTATAGACCTCGTCCGTCGTGTCACTGAATAGGATGCACACGGCCTTTCCCGGTACATTCAGTTGACAGGGCGCTGGACTCGCAATCAGAAGACCCCAGTTCGAATCCTAGCAATTCCAATAACATTCAACCTGCGACACAAACATGGTTAAGAGTCAAATGCCATCCAATCCTTCTGAGGACTCAATACCACCCGACGACATCTGACCGTAGCACTGTGCACATACTGACGCACCAGTCAAGGACCATAGTCTGAAAAATTATTCATCCATGATCAAGCAATCACAGTGACTTTCTGCAGCCCGACCAATGTAAAAGCAATCTGGCTGCTTTAACACCAATTAAGTACAGTAAAACTGGCGTTTAAAAACAAAACCCCACGTCAGTAAAGTACTTAGTTGAAACATCAATAACCATAGGTTTTGTGGGAAAAGGTTCACAAACAGCCATCTGGCACGTCCTGCCAGATGTTCAGCAAATAAGAACCTAAAAAGTTTCAGCGCAGTTCTCTCAACCGACTCAAGCACGACGCCCTGATCTGCCATACATTATATCATCTAGCATGATGTTGGATCTGTCTACCAAGGATAGACCGCACACAAAGGACACTGGCATGGGGCTAACTGATGACAATCATACAAAGCACTGGCATAGAGTGCTTTGTGGCATCAATGATGGCAATCATACAAGACTTTCTCTAAATCGCACTTCGTCACAATTGAAACAGCTGCTACTCAACCATTTAATACATTTCAGCACACAGACACATGCAGTGCAGTGTGAAGTTCCATAGCAATGGGGTTGAACTTGTCTCTTCTCTCCTCCCACCAAAAAAAGAAGACGCTTGAAGTATTTTGCACCGGACCAGCCCTGAATGCAAGCCCGCTCTGCAGGACACCAAACTCTCACTCACTCTCAGTGGTGTACCCCCAGACCACGATCCCACCTCACCTGCCCCCCCCCCCCCCCCGAGTCGGCGGGCCCTCTGCCGGCTGACCTGACAACCTGCTGCTGGATGCGGCGCAGCTGCGGCAGGCTGAAGGCCAGGCGGACGCGGCGCTCGTCCGCCGCCTGGCTCAGCGGGTGGTCCGGGTCGCACAGGCGCAGCAGGCTGAGCGAGCGGCCGCACTGGTACAGGCTGCCCGACAGATCCTGTGGGTACAGCCTGGGGTCACCACACACTCCACCGCCAGCTGTCGCACGGCGAGTCATACTCAACGCGGGGCTGAGGATCTTGAGGGATCATCCCCGCTCTCAAACTTCAGTCATACGACATCACACTTACCAGCATATTCATAATATTTTTTAATACAAAAATGATCTGAGCCCCCACCTCTGGGAAAAGGACATTCCCAGCGGTGGGTGCACAGACACCCACCAGCACGACCGAGAAGAACACCTCGCCTCGCAACCGGCGTCACGTCATACCTCGGGTCCCCACTGGCGTGGGACGGCCGCCCCCCGCCCAGCACGGACCACGCTACAAAAGGGACGCCAGCATGACGCCGACCACAGCCCTAGAGTCGCTCCTGCCAGAGTCACCTTGAGGAACTGAGGATGGTCGTTATCGGTGCCGACCACCACGGGCTGGAAGGCCGACGTCCAGAACGTCTCATCCCGGCTCTGGTGGGCCTCTGGCACCTCCCGCACGGGGAACTCGTCGTAGGGATCACGGCAGATGCCCTCCATCAGCCAGCCCGTCAGAAACCTGCACACACATGCACAACCGGTGAGCGGATCACGGCGACGCGTGCGGGGCACGCAGCCCACACCGGCAGGTATTTTTCCGCATGCGACGTCACGGGGAAGGCTAGAAATGGTAAGAGGATTACAAATACAAAGTGTACTCTTGAATAACTGCCAAACTTTAGGGCAAAGGTAAACATTATTAACCGGTCAAATAAACAGTATAGCAAGTCCATTTACCTTAAATACGGTGAGACGGTGCTCTGGAAGAGATGCGTAAGCATGGCCCACTCAGTCGGCTCCGAGGCGCCGATCAGGCGCTCGTACAGGTCCGACACCAGTGCCATCTTTTGCGGCATCTCGGCATCGCTAGTCCCGACGCAGCACACGTCGGCCAGCAGTGCCATGAGCCGCACGAGCGGTTGCACGCGGCGCCCGAACTCGGCCAGCGAGTCGGCGCGAACCTCCAGCAGGGCGCAGCGGTAGCCGCGCAGACACGGCTCCAGAGCGGCCGTGAACGCGCGCTGCGTCAGGCCGCCGCCGCTGGCTGCCGTCAGCGCCGCCACGCGGCGACACCACAGACCGCAGCTTAGCCAAACGCCGCAGCGCGTCGCCAGGGCCTCGGGCGAGCATCGCTCGGTGCAGAGGCCGGCGGCCGGGCGGAAGGTGCCGCGCGCCGCGTCGAACGGGAAGCTGGCTGTGTCGAGTCCCATCAGCAGGAGACGGAGGTGGGCGAGCAGGGTGGCCAGCGGCACCGGCCGCGCCGGCGCGGGGTGATCCTGGTGCCAGGAGAGCAGCAGCGCACGCAGCGGCGCCACCACCGCCGGTCCGGCCTCGGTCAGGTGCGGCGGACGGCGCTCCATCTGACGGCGGCCGCGCCGCTCCCAGCAGAGGCGGCCGGCGCTGGGCAGGCGCGCCGCCTCCTCCCAGCCGTCGTCGCTGGCCGCGGCCGGCGACTGCGGCCGGACCGGGTCGGGCTCCTGAGGCAAACAACAGACCGTCACAGAATGGGCAGGGGCTGCCGTCAGTCCGACAGAATAATGGATTACAGTGATCTATTGGTGTTTACAGTGATCTCAGTTATCATGATTTTTACAATGATTGTGGCGATCACGATTTTTACACAATTATTACCAATAATGTGACTTTCATACAATGTGCATCCCCAAACACCAATAATGTGGCTTCTATACAACATACGTCCCCAAAACCCAATAATGTGGTTTCGACACAACATTCGCCCCCAAAACTAACAGGTTTCTTACAGGCACAACAGTCCTATACGCCAAACGTCTGCTAATAGACATGCGTCTGGCATGGCGCCATGGTGCAACACTGCCGCGCACCACCGACGGCAGCTGCCGCGGCTGACCTGACGGCGCGCGGGTGACGTGTGCGGCTCCGGGCCGGCCAGCGCCGCGGGACGCAGCGTTTCCGGCGCGAACGGCACCCGGCTGGGGTCGGAGGGCAGCGGCGGCAGGCGCAGCCGCTCCCCGGCGGCCGCCGTGCTGCGGCTCTGCACCAGCGCCCCCAGCGGACTGCCGACCAGAGTGGGATCAGCCGGGGACTGCAGGGAAACGCGACTGGTGATGGGTATCATGTGGGAACCTTCTGATGTGAGAAACGACCTCACGCACTCACGAAGGGGTAAATGCCAGGGCAACACACATTCGTCCAAATATCTTGTAGCGAAATATCTTTAAATCCAATCAGTTATTAATTATTGTTACTGTGACAGGACCGAATACCGACAAGCTCAACATACACACGTGCGCATCGGTAACGAAACGCCAATAGAACACAATGCCCGAGATATTATTCTAACGCAAGTACCGGAGACCCACATATATATACGTGAGGTGACAAACAAAAACAAAAAGAAGACCAAACTACTCCTAGCCTGCAGCACCACTCCAACGCATGACGATGACATCCTGCTAACAGGCCTGCACACTACACACAGGCTTCCAACCAGACAAACGGTCCGTGCCCAGACAGCGTCAACCCCCACTGACCCGCCGGGCTGAGACTGTGTCGGCGCGCCCAGCAGGCCGAGCCCCTCGCCGGGCGGCCGGTCGAACAGGCCCGGCGGCGGCGCGTCGCCGGCCGGCAGCCGCGGGTCGGCGCAGAACACTCCGGCCGGGAACTGCATGTAGAGCCGCGACTCCTCCGGCACCATGTACTCGGTGCTGTACTCGGGCGGCTCGCCGCTGGCCCACAGCGTCTGGGGCAGCGAGGCCGTCAGAGACGAGGCATGCGCCGGTGCACTGACCCCGGACACCAGACGGCGGGGACCGGTACACAAGACCACCGTGTGGCGGGCGACATATCGATGCCGTGACACTCAGCGCACGTTGCCTGCGTGCAGCACCACAGTGAGAATGCATTGCGGTCGGCATGCATCCTGCGCAAATAGCTGCTTTCCGACGATGATCTCAAGTCGACTGTCCCCACCAGAAATCAAGTCCTTAACGATATAAAATGTTAATGCATTCATCCTCAATCGAAATAAAAGGGGCGTTTTACCTACGCTGATGTGTTATCTTCATTTCACCAGCCAAACGAATAGGGAAAGCATAGTATTACCGTGAAAGTGAGTACAGCACATCGCCTCGCTGCATGTGCGAGGCTGGACAGCCTCTGTCGACGGGGGGCGGAGCTCCTCACCCTGGGGCACAGCCGGGAGCCGAAGTGTCCGACGGCCGGCGGCGGCGGCGGCCGGCCCAGCCGCCGGTCCGCCAGCGCCAAGAGCAGGCGCAGCGCGGCGCGCACCTCGGCCGGAGGGTCCGGCCCCAGCGCCTGCAGCAGGGCGCGCAGCCGGCCTGCTGGCTCCAGCCGCCCGGCGCCGGCCAGCACGAACCAAGCGGCGTGCAGCCGCGACAGCTCCGATATCTCACCCGACCGGTCTGGGGACGGGTCACAGGTCAGGAGACTAGACAGCAGCGACAGCTCCGATATCTCACCCGACTGGTCTGGAAACGGGTCACAGGTCGGGAGACTAGACAACTGTGACAGCTTGCAATATCTCACCAAACTGGTCTGGGGATGGGTCACAAGTCAGGAGACAACTGTGACAGCTGCGATATCTCACCAGACTGGTCTGGGGACGGGTCACAGGTCAGAGGGCCAGACAGCAGTGACAGCTCTGATATCTCACCAGACTGGTCTGGGCACATGTCACAGGTCAGGAGACTAGACAACTGTGACAGCTCTGATATCTCACTCAACCAGTCTCGACACAGACCATTATTGTTGCACACTTGACACATCAGAATTCAATCCTGGGATGACATACTAGTGCACAATGACAACTGCCTGGGCCAGATATGACATTGCCAGTACCATGCCTATATGAATTACAAACACTTTTATTACCTTTGATAAAAATAAGATCAGCAGGAACTGCGCAGAAGCACTTCTTAGAAATATTAGTGTGGGAGTATCACAAAAAGAGACACCAGTACAAACAGCCAGTCTCTCAAAATCAGGTTTGGATCAGACTAGAGCACTACAGTACAAGGATAAAGGATTGAATAAGACCTATTTAAGATCACCTCCTTGCCTCAGTCCAATGAAGCATGGCCACCAAACAAATAAAACAAGCATCAAACACAAATCCAGCACCCTGTGAGTGAGTCCCTGGTGTACAGGAGCATGTAAAATGGTTTTTCAGAGGTTAGTATTAGTATAAAATATTTAGAAAATTCGATGACTCCAAGAAAACATCCAACACAGTTTAAGTCATCTGGCTCGTGAGGACGCAAAATGCAGACCATCTTCATGATGTGCACCTCACCACATGAACAAGCTGCAGCATCTCACCATGATCAATGTATGCAGGAAACAGTATGTTTTTCAGAGCATTTGCTCTGATCCTCTTCAGCTGGTTGTTGGTAATGGCAGTTGGGCTTCCCAGGCTGACGGTTGATGTCAGTCGGCAGCACAGCCATGTGATCTGACCCAGGAAATCGTGTTCCTGGTCCATATGCATGTTCTGGGTGTCAAAAACAGACCATTAACAAGCAGGATTTGCATCAATAATTTTTGACACTGTTATAAATAAAGATATCCCAGCCTTATATGGTCAGTTATGCAAGGCAAAAACAAACCAAAAATGCACACTTGCATGGGCATCAATGAACAGCATGGTAGCCATATAGGTAGCATGGTAGAACAGTGGCTGATGGTACCATACTACCCAAATACCCAAGTATAGTACTCAAGTTTGGTACCCCAAATACCCAAGTACAGGTATCCAGGTTTCCCCCACCTCATTCAGCTGCAGCAGAATACACAGACCTGGACAGAATGCCAGAACTGCAATCAAAACCAGATCGCATGTGTACACAGTATACACCCTGCCTTAAACAACATGTCCATTAGTGCATGTTGAATGGTGAAAAGATCAGTCTAAATGCCTTCCAGTGAAAAGGGCTGGTAATAAAGCTGTGTTGAAATGCAGCAGAATGCTGAAAAGTCATCAGCAAAGGATCATGTGATACTGCCAGTTGATGCAGATCACAGAGTTGTAACTGAGCATCAGACACAGTAGCAAATAGCCACAGCAGGGACATAAGCAAATAGCCACAGCAGGGACATAAGCAAATAGCCACAGCAGGGACATAAGCAAATAGCCACAGCAGGGACATAAGCAAATAGCCACAGCAGGGACATAAGCAAATGACGCAGACACACTTAAACACCCACTGCAAAGAAGGAAAGCCCCTCACTGTGCTTTGAACAGTCCAAGAACATCCCTGAAATTTCACTCCGCTAGCATAGGTCTGCATATGCAAGGGCCCTTGCATCAGGAATGATCCAACTTATTTTAGTCTAAGGGTAGGATGCTGCAGCCCTGTCAGTCTGTGGTCATTAGTGGTTGGATATTGGTATTGTGTGATATAAGCTAATAGTATTGTATCAGCAGTCTCATTGTAGCTGTTTTCAGCAACTCCCACTACCACTGGAAGACAAGTGATGAAGCAGTGCAAGAGAGCCATAACATGTAGAGATGGGAACATAGGAACTAGAGTAGGACCAGTCTGCTAAAAATACATGTTAGGCTAAAAATATCAGGCAGAGCATTAACACTGACATCTCTGCAACAATTTTAGTGCATGTACATCATAAATTTGGGCTCTCAGGGTTTGGCACATAGTCACCATCAATGTTTGTGCATAGAGTGCCATATTTTAAAGTTGTTTAAAAGACTGCACATGTAATTTCACACAAAGATACTCTGCTTTCAAGCAAAAATATTTTGAAAACTCAGAACATTTAGAGAAAGTCTGAGGTTGATGCAGCAAAACATGGTGTCCAGAGCAGTCATATGGATATCCTGCTGTTGGATACATTTTCTACAAACTGAATAAGGGGTCCAGAGGCCGGACTGCAGAAATACATCTTAGGCTTACCATACTACAGATGAGGAATGCAGCAGCACCACAGCAACAATTTAGCACACCTATATATCACAAACTTAAGTGCTTAGGAGGTCAGAACCAATTTAATGTAATTTTTCAACACCAATTGCAAAGGTTACTGAGCCCACTAACAAGGGAATTATGATGTGAAGGTAATTTCATGCCAAATGATGCAAACTTTTTCAAATTAAGCTGAAAATGTAGCCCAATCTGCCTGGCCTGAATTGCAGGTAATTTTTTACTTTGGTACCTGTATGGCCGACGGAGGGAAGAACTACGCTAGCTGCAGGGTTTCGAGTATTGTCGTGCGGGGGAAAAGCTGTGAGGCATCAGCTGACATTGTGACGTCACTGAAAATGGTTTTGCATCGATCGGGATCGGGGTTCTTTCGGGCCGACTGAAGGCCATAAGGCTTTTGCTTGTGATATGATGTCACTGGTATTCGGCTGGGTATGTGGCGTCACTGGTCGTGAGTTTGTAAGGCTCATTTGGGTCCACTGAATGCCATAATGCATCAGCTGGCCATGTGTCGTCACTGGTATTCGATTAAACATCAGGCGCGACCGGCCTCGTTCCATCTTTACTTTTCGTACCTGTCTGCTGCAAGCATTTGCGTGCCGCATAAAGGTTTGACCGAATCACCTGAATGTGTGACGTCCCTAATCATCACTTCATACGAGTGCACTTAGGCCCCACGACCACGGTGTGTCATGGTCCGCGAAGTATCACCGGATAGCGTGACGTCACTGGTATTCGAATAAATACTGGGCGCAACAGGCCGTGCCTCATTTTTACCTTTGTACCTGTCTGCTGCAAGCATTGGCGTGCTGGATGAAAGCTGCCGGACCACCTGAGTGTGTTACGTCACTGGTCATGAGTTCCACCGGTGCTTTTCGGCCAACTGAAGACCACAAGGTGTCAGCTAACGACGTCACTGCTATACGTCTGATTGTAAGACGTCAATGGTCGTGGGTTTCCACGGGCCCTTTAGGACCGACGAAATGCCGTAAGGCATCAGCTGGCGATATGACGTCACTGGTATTTGGCCGAACATCAGGCAACAGGTCATGCTCCATTTATACCTTTCGTACATGTCTGCTGCAAGTATTGGCGGATTTTTTTGGCGGCCAACTGAAGACCATAAAGCATCAGCTAACGATGTGACGTCACTGGCATTCGACTGTGCGTGTCGCTGGTCATGAGATTTTACGGCCTCTTTTGGGCCGACGAAAGGTCATACGGCACTGACTGACGATGTGACGTCACTGGTATTCGAATGAACTTCGGGCGCGACAGGCCATGCTCCACCTTTATCTTTGGTACCTGTCCATTGCAAGCATTGCCGTGGAAGGCTCTGCCAAATTACCTGAGTGTGTACGTCACTGACCATTAATTTGTATACTCTTTTGAACCTACTATAGGCCACAAGGCATCAGCTGACGATATGATGTCACTGGGTTTCGACTAGACATCATGCGCAACAGGCCATGCTCTATCTAAGCCATGTTTCGTCTGTACCTTTCGCACCTATCTACTGCAAGTATTCGCGCGACACATAGGGGCTCTGCCGAATTACCTGAGCGTGTGGTGTAACTAGTTATGAGTTTACGCGGGTTTACTCTGGCTGACCGAAGGACATCATGCATCAGCTGACGATATGACGTCACTGGTATTCGACTAAACTCCAGGCGCGACAGGCCATGTTCCATCTTTACCTTTCGTACCTGTCTCTTGGAAGTATTGGCGTGCTGAATGAGGGCTCTGTCGAGTCTCCTGAGTAAGTAACGTCACTGGTCAAGAGCTTTTTACGGGACCTTTTGTACCCCCAAACGGTATAATGCATCAGCTGACGATATGACGTCACTGGTGTCCGACTTAACATCAGGCGCAACAGGCCATGTTCTATCTTTACCTTTCGTACCCGTCTATTACAAGTATTGACGTGCTGAATGAAGGCTCTGTCGAGTCTCCTGGGTGTGTAACGTTACTGGTCATGAGTTTTTTTCTGGCTCCTTGTAACCCTCCATAGGGGAAAATGCATCAGTTGACGACATGATGTCAATGGTGTTCGACTTAACATGAGGCGTAACAGGTCATGTTCCATCTTTGCCTTTCGTACCTGTAAAGTTTTGGTGCGTTAAATGATGGCTCTGCCGAGTCACCTGAGTGTGCGACGTCACTGGTCATGAATTTTTACCAACTATTTTTGGCTGAGCGAAAGCCGTAAGGCATCAGCTAACGAAATGACGTCACTGGTAATCCACTGAGTGTGTGACGTCACTGGTCATGAGTTTTTACGGGCCTTTTTTGGCCGAGTTCAGGCCATTAGGCATCAGATAACGTTATGGCGTCACTTGTATTCGAATTAACATCAGTTGCAATAAGCCATGTTTCATCTTTACCTTTCGCACCTGCCTACTGCAAGTATTCGTGCGCTACAAAAAGGCTCTGTCAATTCGCCTGAGCGTGTGGCGTAACTGGTCATGAGTTTGTGCAGGTTTACTCGGGCTGACTGAAGGACATCAAGCATCAGCTGACGATATGACGTCACTGGTAATCGACTAAACTCCAGACGAATCATCTGAGTGGGTGACGTCGCTGGTCATGAGTTTATACGGATTCACTTGGGCCGCCCAAGGCCACAAAGCAACACCTCCCGTGAAGCATCACAGGATGATATGTCGTCACTGTTATTCGACTTAACATCAGGTCCAACGTGCCACGTACTTTCTTTACCTTTCGTACCTGTCTATTAAAGGTATTAACGTGCTGAATGAAGGCTCCGTCGAATCTCCTGAATGTGTGACGTCACTGGTCACGAGTTTTTTACGGGCTCTTTTGAACCCATTATAGGTTATAATGCATCAGCTGACGACATGACGTTACTGGTGCTCGACTAAACATCAGGCGCAACAGGTCATGTTCCATATTTGCCTTTCGTACCTGGCTGCTGCAAATATTCGCGTGCTATATGAAGGCTCCGCCGAATCACCTGAGTGTGTGACGTCACTGATAATCAGTTGGTAGGAGGTCACTTGGCCACCTATGGCTACGAAATTCCGCAGCAGAGGTGGGAGATGCACCATAGTTAAGCACACTAATTTTATTGTGCGCACCATTAAGTAACAACTTCAAACGCAACGGGCTGTTTCAACGACTAAAATTTTGAACAAACGTAAACACAAAACAAAGGTGATCCCAGCCCACAAACCGACGTATATGCAAAGCTATTCCGCCCGACATCACAGGATGCGCCCCTGAGCAGCTACGGTCCGGAATGCCCTGATGGCTAAATAATAATCAAGCGCGCCACCTAGCGGCCATAAGTCTGGGCCACAGCCCGAATATCAGTGACGTCATAAGGTCAGGTGATGCTTGATGTCCTTCAGTCAGCCCGAGTAAGCCCGCGTAAACTCATGACCAGTTACACCACATGCTCAGGTGATTCGGCAGAGCCTTTATGTAGCGCGCGAATACTTGCAGTATAGAGGTGCGAAAGGCAAAGATGGAACATGGCCTGTTGCGCCTGAGATTAAGTCAAATACCAGTGATGTCATATCGTCAACTGATGTCTTGTACCCTATAGGTACAAAAAAGCAGCCCGTAAAGAACTCATGACCAGTGACATTACACACCCAGGAGATTTCACAGAGCTCAACTTAAGCATGTCAATGCTTACAATAGACAGGTACGAAAGGTAAAGACGAACATGGCCTGTCGCGCCTGGTGTTAAGTTGAATACCAGTGACGTCACATCGCCAGATGATGCTTGATGTCCTTCAGTCAGCCCGAGTAAACCCGCGTAAACTCATAACCAGTCACACCACACGCTCAGGTGATTGGGCAGAGCCTTTATGTGTCGCGCGAATACTTGCAGTAGATAGGTGCGGAAGGTAAAGATGAAACATGACATATTGTATCTGATGCTTAATTGAATACCAGTGACGTCATATCGTTACCTGATGCCTAATGGCCTTAAGTCGGCCCAAAAAGGCCCGGGAAAACTCATGACCAATGGCGTCACACACTTAGTGGATTACCAGTGACAACATATCGTTAGATGATGCCTTATGGCTTTCACTCGGCCAACAATAGCCTGTAAAAACTCATGACGACGCACTCAGTTGATTCGGCAGAGCCATCATTAGGCTCGCCAATACTTTAACAGGTGCGAAAGGCAAAGATGGAAGATGACATGTTTTGCCTGATGTTAAGTCGAGCACCAGTGACATCATATCGTCAGCTGAAGCATTATACCATATAGGGGGTTGAAAAGAGCCCGTAAGAACTCTTAACCAATGACATGATATAACACGCGAATGCTTGCAGTAGACAGGTACGAAAGGTAAAGATGGAACATGGCCTGTTACGCTTGATGTTGAGTCGAATACCAGTGACGTCATATCATCCCGCGATGCTTCACAGGATATGATGCTTTGTTGCATTGGGCTGCCCACGTGAACCTGTATAAACTCATGACTAGTGACGTCACGCACTCAGATGGTTCAGCATCACCTTCATACAGCACGCGAATGCTTGCAGTAAACAGGTACGAAAGGCAAAGATAGAGCATGGCCTGTTGCGCATGACATCTAGACGAAAACCGGTGACGTCATATGGTCAGCTGATGTGGTATGGCTTACAGTGGGTTCAAAACAGTCTATACAAATTAATGGTTAGTGACGTTACACACTCAGGCAATTCGGCAGAGCCTTCCTTCAGCATTCAAATGCTTGCAATGGACAGGTACCAAAGGTAAAGATGGAGCATGGCCTGTCCCGCCTGAATTTTATTCGGATACCAGTGACGTCACATCTTCAGTTAATGTCGTATGACCTTTCGTCGGCCCAAAAGAGGCCGTAAAATCTGATCACAAGTGACATCACACACAGTCGAATGCCAGTGACGTCACATCATTAGGGTATGCTTTACGGCTCTCAGTTGGCCCCCAAAGATCCATAAAAATGCATGACCAGTGACGTCACACACCCACGTGATTTGGTAGCTTTTATTCATCACGCCAGTGCTTACAGTAGACAGGTACGAAGGTAAAAATGAAGCATGACCTGTTGCGACCAATATTTGGTCGAAAATCAGTGATGTCACGATACCCGGTGATATTTCACGGAACATGATACACCGCGGCCGTAGGGCCTAAGTGCACTCGTATCAAGTGATGATTAGTGACGTCACACATTCAGGTGATTCGGTCAAGCTTTTATTCGGCACGCAAATTCTTGCAGCAGACAGGTACGAAAGGTAAAGATGGAATAAGGCCTGTTGCGCCTGATGTTTCATTGAATACCAGCGACGACATATCGTCAGGTGATGCTTTACGGCATTCGTTGCACCCAAAAGAGCCCTAAAGCATCACAACCAGTGACGTCACATATCCAGTCGAATACCAGTGACATCATATCGCTAGCAAATGCCTTGTAGCCTTCAGTCGGCCCAAAAGAACCCCGATGGATGCAAACCCATTTTCAGTGACGTCACCACGTCGGCTGATACCTAACAGCATTTCTCCATCACGGCAGTACAGGAACCCTGCAGCCAGCGTAGCTCTCTCCCCACCGTCGGCAATACAGGTACCCAAGTAAAAAAAAGCCGAATTGCATACATAATCACAAGGTTCAACACACCAATGTCAGAGAGGCATCTGGAAAAGGGGACAGCTTTTTGCAATGACCCAGACAGGCTGAGGCCGAAACCTTTTGAAAATTAATGATCAGTCTAAAAAGCACTGACAGGCGATAAACATCGACTGTCAAAGCCCCAGCCTGGGAGAACTTGCACTGCCCCAAGGTGGTAAGCATGGAGGGTACACACATGTAACAGCACAGGTGGGAAAAGATTCAGTTTGGTAGATGCCACCTGTAATTTGCTTTGAGAATGCCAACAGGACCAAAATGATCAAACACTTCGGGTAATGCCTACAGGGGAATGCACACGGAGCAAACAGCATGACAGCAGTTCGGTTCTTACATTCCTATCGTTCACTAGATGTCAATTACACCGATTCTTCCTTATTTCAAACCCATTTGGCCATTTGGGGACATGACGGCGGGCGGTGGTCCAAGAAAACACGAATCGAAATACACCCCCTTGCGGCGCGAGTTTTATCACCTATGCTGGCATATACAATGCAAAAAAAGTTTATCTACTTTTTGAAGGGAATTCGACAGCGTAGTCCAAGGCGTGTTCGTAAAATCTTGTAGCAATTTCCCTTGCACACCTCGGCAACACGCATGGGAAATATGACATCGAGAATTAGGTCAATAATATCTCGGAGTTTGAAGATTCAAATGACGACAAGGTCAGCCAAAGCAGGATTTTTCTGCGGCTACTTTCATGAGCCGTATTTCCAATATACTACCATATAATGTAGCGTATAGACATTTCCGACGCAGACAGGACGAAACGTAATGCGCCAAAGTAAACTACATAGGTACCCCACATATTTCCTTCGCTGCACGTGCGTGTTATTAGTTTGAGGAGTCAGTGAGAATCGCATTGGTGGAATATTGTGCCGCGGTATTGTTTTGCACATAGGTGCACGTTTTTTGGGGGTGATTCAAGTGTATCAGTATATTTTTTCAACAAATCACTTTCCAGTATATGAAATACAATTTGGAAAGTATCAATGCATGCAATCACTCTTGTGGTGTTGTGATCTCCAGTGACAGTGTTTCTTGGTGAGATGCTGCCTTTGGGTTACGTTTCTGTTGCTGTTTTTATGAGTTTTGCATGGAACAATGTTGAAATGGGTGTTAGGAACCCGGGTAGGGTGGTTAAAGTATCCTTCAGTCTCCAGTATTTATTGTGAGTCACCTGTTTACAACTGTAAGGCTTTAGTTATAACTTCATTCCTTGTGTAAAAAAGAAATGGGAGAAAGAATAACAAATTTACTGGTTTATTTGTTGTTTGTTTGTCAGGTGTATAATTCAATCAAGTTGTCAGGTCTGTAAGTCAATTAATTCTCACACTGACTGGATGTGGCTTGTCCATGCATTATTTCATCTTCATGTCCTGAAACTCATGCTGTTTATAAGAAAATAGTGGAAAAGTGACACTAATGACTTTTATGTCCAGCCTTGGCACATATTGCTGCATACCTGGCTGGTGAAAGATATTGTAAAGAGTTAAACAGTATTTGTGTGGCCATTGAAGGAAATTTGGCAATAATTTTTCTGGTATGTTACATGCTCTGTTTTTTGTTTGTTTGTTTCCTGTTATGTTGTGATTTATTGACTTGGGTATTATTTTTAGAGTAACAGAAAAAGGACAACTTTTGTTTGCAAATTTGCATTGCCCTGTTTTTCTGTGGCAATATTGTCTACACACAGCTAACATAAACCTGTGCAAATCTATGGCATTCCTCTTATCATGGCTTAACTGTAAGAAATGGCTTATGATGAATGTGTGTCATTTGGTATCCAGAACATTGATCACTTATTCTCTTTACAGATCTGAAAAACATAAAGTGTAATCGAACAAAAAATGAGCTCCCAAAAAGGTAATGCTAAGAGAACCAGAGCCCAAAAACACAAAAATGTCGCCGTTTTTAATAACAGCATGCACGACACATCAAGGAGAACCAAGATGCTGAACAGCATGGAAGTTCACGGCGTGTGTCAACGATGCAAGGACGTGATCGATTGGAAGATCAAGTACAAAAAGTATAAGCCCCTCACAGCACCAAAAACGTGCAACAAATGTCACGAGAAGTCGATCACGGCGGCATACCGGACTATCTGCAAAAAGTGCGCTTCGTCCCTGAGAGTGTGCGAGAAATGCGGAGAGTCCAAGGAGGTGGTTCAGAAGACGGTGTTAACTCCCCAGGAGCAAATGAAGCAAGACGCAGAATTCGAGAAAGAGCTCAAAAGCCTGCCGGAGCGCAAAAGAAGAACTCTGATGCGTTACATGGCGAAGACGAGGGGCAACCCAGAAAGCGATCCGACAAGATTTGGTGCCGATATGAGGGCAAAAATTGACCGTGCGAAGGAAGGGGTGGATGATGGTTTGTCGGACGAATTCGATGACTTAAGCGTGGGAACAGCGAGTGAGAGCAGCGATAATGATGGTGATGAATGAATCTGTTTTACTTGTGACCGAAATGTTGTTGTTTTTTGTTGGTCGCTGATTCTGAAGTTCCCTGGGGACAGACATGTATGAATTATACACATACAGAAGGGCAGGTCGGATGCACACAAGTCCATTTTCAAACGAAAAGCCGGTAGTTAAAATATGCCTTTTACTCTCGCGCACTACTGTATGTGCTATTGAGCAATACACAGACTCGCTCATTGTCTGAAGCGCACAATTTTGACCTCTATATTCGTACCGTTGTGACCCGTTAATTTTGTTTATTTACGTGCGCTCAATCGCAAGATGCACCGGAAAATGTGAATGCATCACATTGTAGCCCCATGTTGCGGTGTAGGTGATTACGCATTCCCCCTCCCCGACCTGGTGTGGTATGTCAGCGGTCGCTTACCCGGTTACCTGGGACGGACTGTTCTGGCCGCTGGGCATGTTTGATGTCGGTCGGCAACCGGGGCTCGCCCGCACCTTCGGCGCATGGGTATAATTTTTTTGGAGGCTGCTATAAGTCAGCAAGTCCAAGCTCCCCCGGCTGCTGTATTTGGTAATGCGCTGTCAGTGGGTGTGATAAGAGGAGTTAGCAGTCGAGCAATGTACTGCGGTGCCCGTTGGAAGCCCCCTGAAAATGCTGTTTAATGCGCACAGAAATGATATCCTCTGGTCTGGCACTCTGCGCGCGCTTATAAGCATTTTGATATGGCAGATGCATTTTATCCACACCGCTACGGGCGTCTGCCCCCATTCAGTTATACGCTATGTGGCAGAAATGCCAAGAAAACGGATGTTTTTTCGGCCGAGTACAAGATAACGGTGCCAGTTGATAGCCCGCTCACAGTGGCATTACATGCGGAAGGTGGCATCCTGTACGCACGATTGTACATAATTTTAAAAGGCTGCCATGGTTTAGGAAATACACTGTTCGGCCGCTCGCATTCGATGTTGCGTTGTTACGAGTCATAGTAATAGAATGTGTGCGTCCGGCCGTGCGCACCGATACGGTGTCAGTTGATAGACCACCCACAATGCTATCAGACGTGCGTGGCTGTGCCCCCTGCTCCCTGCCTACGATTATCTGTAGTTGGTTTGTTTGTTTTTTAATGGCTGCCGCTCTTTTGCAGCCAAACTCTTCTCCTTCATTCAGAAATGCGCGGTCAGGGGAGTCAAAGCAATCGAATATGTGCCGCCGGCTGAGCAACATACCATGGTTCCAGTTGATAGTCTTCCCAGGGTGTCTAAAATGTATACGAATGCACCCTCCGCGAACGACTATCGATAGTTTTGCAATGGCTTCCGTATCTTCTCGACCATACTCCGGCCTGCCGCCTGCGTTCAGTACTGCGATGCCAGGGGTGACACAAATAGGTGCCGTCCGCCAGCCTCATATTGCGTTGGCAGCCATAATCCCTTCCAAAGAGCATTCAAACGCAGAAGGCCGTACCCTCCACGAAGGCTTTCAATGTTCATGAAAGGCCAAGCAGTGCAGTTGACATCCGGAGAACACGTTGGGCGTTACATGCCGTGGGAACTGCGCCCGGGGGCGACACATGCACTACCTGTCGAATGTAGAGGGCGCCAGCAGACCAACACTTCCGCAAGATTTCCTGCCAGATTACGCACGGCGCCCGCGACCGGGCCCGATTTTCGGGTATCGTGCGATAACAGGAAAGCACGTTCTTGGTCGCACTCGCAGAGAACTATTTTAATGATTATTAAAGGCTGTCATGCCTTGTGCATCACGTAACGACAGGCCTCGACATTGAAAAATACCGAGCGATGGGGACATGCTGCGCAAATTGACACCAGCAAACGCGTCCGCTTTTTAGGCATCACCCCATCGCTCTAAAAAGGTACGATCGAGCCCGCTCGGTCCCGCCTGCAGCAATCAATTTAGCTCAGTTTAAAAACGCTGCTGCACTTTGGCCATGTGCGCTGATAGTGCGCTTGCGTTGAATGAGGAGCAATAGAGTCATCGTCAACAAATATACGACGGCGGACGCATTCGATAGTCGGGTAATTAAGTGCGTCTTGACATTAAGGTCATGTCCAGCCGGCTGCTCACATCGGAAAATGATCAGGAATGTTGAATAATTATTCGAAATGCCGTCCGGCTTTGCTGACACGGACATATATCGCACATAATTAGGTTGTGCCAAGGAAGATTTCCAGATAACTTTCAGCGAGTGTTTTAGACTGATGATCTTGCTTCGCCATGTCTAGTTAAGATCATTGGTTATGTATGCCGTATGTGGGACGAAACTGGCGTACAATTTCCGGGCCTGTCAAGCGCAAATGGAGAATTTCCGTGGATGATTATTCAACAGATCTTTATTGGTTGAATAGTCTCCCCCGGCTGAACACACCCTTAAATAATACTACCAAACACGTACGGTCCAAAACGCAGGGATCAATTGCCGTGTTTTTAAGCGCTGACCAGGCGAGCTGAGTGATTAAAACCGTGGGTGGAACTTTGCATCTATTTGGGAACGCTGTCGCCAATAATGATATCGCCCTCCATTTCACTGTGGGGCCCAATCAGCAGGAAAATGCTTAAATGCCCCAACAAATGTCATACACAGGATTTTGTTTGGTACATCTGGTCTTCGGGACTCGCTATCTCCCTGATAAGCTACAGCTGACATCGAACTTCTGCTGTCAGCTTCAACTTAACGTGAATAGTATGGTATGTTAACGGAGAATGATCTGCTTGTTCGTGACCGAGTCTGCTGCCGCTTCACCTTGCAGTGGAGGCGCACTTGAAGGGAGTGCTCCAAATTTGCGCGCGGTCTTGAACTGAAATAACCATTTGAAGGTCATTTGGTGCAATTCGCAGCACTGGCCTTCTTAAGGCCTAATAGCCTATAGTTTCTGAGGTGCACACCCGCAAAGATGTGCAGACTATTTCGTGAGACTATTTCAAGGTCACTTAGGCATACATGACACCATAATTGCACCATTTAAATCTTGCATCCCATTGGCAGTGCGGCGATCAAGGTCAGAAAACACATCATTGTCGAGTCGTTCATGTCTGTCGTTCGTGAGCATGATTTCCAGGGATAACGGGTGCCCATTGGCTCCTGAATCAATCTTGTGCAAGGTATGATAGCGTAATCAAGCAATGACGCATTGAGGGCCATATTTATCAAACAGAGAAATTGTATTGTCTAGAGCAATCTCTTCCACTTAAAAGCATATAAATAGTTATAGGTGACCTTATTTCATCACATCTGATGCCTGCTTCGATATCTTCAAATGTGGAACATTCCCTGCGTATGCCGGCCGTGTGTCCAACAGTGTCGTCCAGCGTGACGTGTGAGCGGTTCTGACAGGCCGCCGCGCAGGTGACCATCTCACCGCGCTCTGGCGTCCGACACCTGGCTCTCACCGGCTCGGCTCATCTACGAATGGAAAAGACCATCACCTTCGTCATCACGGTGGTGTCCATGCTGCTGGTGTTCGGGCTGGAGCGTGGCCTCAGCAGGTACCAGCCGAGCGCCGGATACCTGCTGGTGGCCGCGCTCTACTACGCCGCCAGCGAGCGCCAACTGACAAGCGCTTGGCAGGCGGCGCTGGAGCGGCTCTGCCTGCCGTACCTCGACTGCCTGGAGGAGCTCTGGCCGCCGCTGCTGCTGGGCTACGGCTGCGCGGCCGCCGCCGGACTGCTGGCCGCCGCCGCCGCCTGGCTGGGCCATGTCCGGCTGGCGCTGGCCGTCGGCTATCTCTGCTGCTGGTTTCGCACGCGAGAGACAGGCACGAGCCATCTGGCGTCGCTGGCGAAATAGAGGGCGCTGCTGCTGCCGTTCCGCACAGCCGAGCCGGCCGAGCTGCGCGACATGGATGATGTTTGCGCTGTCTGCCTGGCGCCGATGCGTGAGGCATGCGTCACACCCTACCACCATCTCTTCCACAGCTCCTGCCTGAGACGCTGTCTACAGGTCACCGATCGCTGCGCCATCTGCGCGCGCGACCTGGACTCAGAGTAATTGATAGCAGTGGAAGATGGCGGGCGGGGATCGTTTCGGCAGCAGCAGACCAGTTGTCACTCCTGACTGGAGTCGGGCCGACTCGAGTCTGATTATTTCCTCTAGATCTGCTGTTTTCACTGTGGGAATGTGAGGCTGATCGGAGCATGGAAGTGTCCGCTTTTTGGGGTGTGATTAGTTGATATGCTTGGCTTGGTAGTCAATAACGGGACCACGTATCCGTGGTGCGCACGACAGCCGTGAAATCCATTACGTGATAGCGACCTGATGACACTTTGTGTTCACTCGGGTTTTAAACACGTGGAAGTCGCATGGTCGGATATACCAAAACGGACATTGACGTGGCCATGTCATGTGCCCTATGCCTATATTTTCATAATTATCTTTCCTTGCCGTCTTTGACACGAACACTGTCGTAACATGTGTAAACGCGAACACTGTCTTATGTGTTGTGTAAGGACTGGTCACAAAAAGGTGACTGTGTGTGTGTGTGTGTGTGTGTGTGTGTGTGTGTGTGTGTGTGTGTGTGTGTGTGTGTGTGTGTGTGTGTGTGTGTGTGTGTGTGTGTGTGTGTGTGTGTGTGTGTGTGTGTGTGTGTGACGTGCGTGTACGTGTGCGTGCGCGTACGCGTGTGCGTGTGCGTGTGTGTGTGTGTGTGTGTGTGTGTGTGTGTGTGTGTGTGTGTGTGTGTGTGTGTGTGTGTGTGTGTGTGTGTGTGACGTGCGTGTACGTGTGCGTGCGCGTACGCGTGTGCGTGTGCGTGTGTGTGTGTGTGTGTGTGCGTGTTTGTGTGTGTGTGTGCGTGTGTGTGTGTGTGTGTGTGCGTGTGTGTGTGTGTGTGCGTGTGTGTGTGTGTGTGTGTGTGTGTGTGTGTGTGTGTGTGTGTGTGTGTGTGTGTGTTTGTATGCGTCATTGAGCTTGCCGTAGTCACAATATTAAAATGAAAAAAACAAAAGTGCTGAATGCTTGATCTAGATGGATCAAACAGGTCATATTTAAATTTCTTTCTGTCTTTCTTACTGTCCAAATAGACCTGAACCGATACGTGATGGAAATGAGCATATATGAGCTCACGGAGACGGCGGCGGGTGCAGACCTATGAGGCACGAAGAGAAATAAAAATATAATGCAACGACGCAGGCCATTGTTTTCATTTGCGATGCCTACTGTCAAAATCAGCTCTAGTATTCCGAGGCATCCTGGGATGGAATCGCGCCGCCCTGCCGTAAGCACATGACTAGGGTTAAACAAGCTGCAAGGCGCTACAAAATGGCGTATTTGATACAAAATGCCGTCTTGAGTAAAGCAAAGATTTTCCGTTGCATCAAACCAATGTTAGTAGCTGTTTTCACAAATCATTAGTCTGAACATTTTAAATCTTCCCATCGTATAGTTTCTAATCACACACGTTTTTTCAGAGAAGTTTGGCCAAGAATATTGTGCAGATATTTTAAAAAACATGGTTGTGAAAACGCGTGGTTTGATAAAATGGCGGTTGGATGGCTGTACGTAATATCATGCTTTGTGGACGAGCACGAATGTCAGATCTCTTCCGAAGCTTCTGTCAGAGCATTTCAAGCTTTAAAAAACATTCACTATCATCTCTGACCATGATGGCTTTATGGGGAGATCGTTGCCTTATTTGACATCATGGTGGGGTGGGGGGCAAAAAGCCCTAAAACATACGGGTTGTAATCGTCTCTTTTCCATGTAAACAGCCTTGTTGTAACTTTCACAAGAATCCAAGCTCACGGATGGAATATTTGTTCGGATTTCTATCCTCGTCAGATGTGCTAGTATGTTTGTGCACTAAATTAGTATGCATGCACATAATTAGTATGCAGCAAAAGCATGTACAAAATTAAATGGCACCATCTTCACCAAGCAGTACCCTTTTTTCATATTCCTGCTGAGTTCATTTCACCTCGGTTGTGCCACACATTATTGAAAAGGAACTGTAGTGGTTTGCTTGGGATTTGTTTGAGATATAGCAGCAGCACAATTCCATTCAAAATAACTGAAGCTGAAACAGATCACGGTGTACCTAGAGATGGCGAGTAAAAATAACACAGGATTCTCACGAGTCGTAAGAATACATTGCATTGCTGCACACCAAAGGACGACCTGTTCACTGGTGCCAGGACGCCTCGGAATGACGACCTCAAAATAGACTTGTCACCCGTTGCGTCATGACATATTACCTATGTCTAGCATGCATCAGCTGTGCTGTCGAGGTCGCGAATCAGTTTTGTTCACGGATGACAGCCTAAGATTGTGACAAGAAAGTCGGACGGGCAAAGGGAACAAATTGACAATGTTATGATTTGGTCACTTAACGAATTGGGAAAGGTTCAATTACAACATTGTACTAAAAATAAGCGCACATACACGCACCGCCCGGCCGCGACACACTTAAGCGGTACGTAAGTCTGATGGATGCATTTAAAACACGCATGGTAGACGCAGAAATTTCTCTGGCGAACCGCAAGAACATTAGAGACAGCTTGCATGGAGAGAACGGTCAAGACTGTTTATGAACAATGCTGTCGAAATTTCTGTTGACTTCTGTTCGACCCGGTCCCAATTTCTTTTTCTCATAGCATTCTTGTCTGGTACAGTCCAACCCGTGGATATATAAGTAAACTGTGGATATGTCCCATTTGTGAACAGCACCGATTGCCTGGTCTTAGACCATGATGTTATATGCAACAAGTCAGCCAGCCAGGGGCGTTTATTCCGCAAGTTATGTTAAAATACACTTCTTTGTTATATTAGTCACGAATTCAATGGTTTATAAATATCTTTTCATTTCGAAAGATAAATACCTGAAGTCATTCCTGTCAAAATCGATGAGAAAACTGCGCCCAAACTTTTTTGCCACGAAATGTTGATATCACGCCACCCTTATTCTCGTCTCAAGATGCTGCTATCTAAATATGACACGATCGCGTCACGTGCACGTGAAAACCAGGCAACAACAGGCCGCTTGCGGGTTTATCCGGCCGTAGTGTCGCCGCCCCGTGCTATCGCTGGCGCAATTTTCCAGGGCTCTGCTTCTCATCAGATTATGCTGGATAGTAAGGGAAGAATAATGCCATCTGGATGACTTTTATGATGCGGCTGGGGCGGCACAATCTGATTGGTTGCGTGATGAGGAGGGCAGTGATTTCTGCGAGCGCGCCAAAGAGACCGCTGTTCGCCAACGACGCTTCCGCGGCCTGTCGCGCAGCCGTATTTCATTGGCTGAAGAATCGTGCTCTGTCATGAAAAACCAAACAGACTGTTCCATCTATCAACGGCACAAAGCGCAGCCAAGCGTGTCGGAACAGTGCTTTCACGTCTCAGCACGCCGCCAGACTGCCGATTTATTTTGAGTTCAAAGCAATGGATGCGTACAATTTGTGCTGAGCGTGTTATTTCCCAGAATATGACGACCCGATTGAATCATTAACACTGTGTTGAACTGACAGGATTATAGCTGGGCCGAGCCTGAATAGCTAACGATGTATTGTGGGGTTTCAGGGCGGAGTTACAAACCACTGTTGCTAAGCTACGGTTCCCGCAGCTGTGCTGTAATTCCTCCGTTGCATATACCACAATGCTGATAATATTATGTCTGAATCTGACGTTACGCTTTGAATGAAGCCCATCAGTTGCCGCCTTTCTTTAGGTTTTTAGGAATGTATTTCGAATAAGCGAAATGTGCAGAGTAGGATCAGTGCCTACAAGTTAGAGGGAATGCTCCACATTTGGAGATATTCAGGTAGGCATCAGATATGATGAAAAAGGCCCACTTTTAACAACAAACATTGCTTAAATGCAAAAGATTGCTCCATGTAACACAATTTCACTCATTAAACAAGTGTGGTCTTTATTACGTCATCGTGGGATTACGTCACGGAGCACTTTTTACGGTGTCCGGGTCGCCGCCAGAATTACGCATCAGAGCGGCCGCTGCAATGGATGGCTTGACTCAGGGTAATAGATACGCGCGTTTACGTTCGGTCGGAGCTGTACACCGAACTGTTGGTGCATCTGGGTTTCCAAATTTCGAATGGACTCGATCCTTGCGACAGATAATTTGAATAAAAAAGGGATTCAAATCCTACAGCGCAATTCAAATCCTGAAAACCAGTCTTGATATACGCATGTACAGGTTTTTTGAAAGATGCACCAAGTCCACACACCCCTAACAAAGCGTGTATCTTGACGTGAGACCTTGTGCGCTTGAGTGCGTCCGTATGTCTGCTTGGATGTTTATGTTGGCGCGTTGGTGCGTGTCTGCGTATCCCATGGTCTGCGGATGGGGGCATATCCCATGCAGTCTACCCGCAAACAATTATTTTGCATCTACGATACCCACCATGGTGCTGACCAAAATCATCACATTTGCCCCACAGCTGCTCGTGTTGTAGAGTTGGTAAAAAACGCATGCCTTCCATGCCACCCACGGAGGGTCTGCTACATAGTTTCCGATCTTAATAGCGCGGGCATCTTTTGAACGCCCGTACCTGATTCCAGCCCCTGCTTTATTGAGCTGTGAGGCCACCTTCAGTGGACGATCCCGACACAGTCAGCCCTTTGAGCCGAGCAGCCATAACGCACACGGAGCCCTGAGTCTGCCATGAAATATGAACCATTCAAGCGCCGGATGAATGCCACTCGTGGCTGCGCATGCGTGGCAGCGAGCGCGGCGCAGGTGCTCGGGCCGGCGCGCGCGGGTGGCGCCAGCTTTGTTTCCGGCCATCTGCAGGTCATCGCCTCTTGAAGTAACGCGGGGGACAGGGAGGGGAAGGGGGGCCATACCGGGCGTCCCGCTGCGGCCCGCTCCACTGGCAGTGTTTGTCAACCACAGGGCTAGATCGGGGCACAGATAGGGACCGGCGCCCTTCGCACTGAATGGCGTCCCGGACCCGCGTTTTGTTTGGGTGGTCGCAGGGATCTGATAAGTGTGTGACTTCATTGAACGGCCACCGCCACCGCTGCGCCGCCAAGTGTTC